GTCCTTCTCGGACATGTCTTGTATGTCCAGCATTAGTGCAGAAAATTGTTTCACATAGTCTCGGATGGTGGTACTCTGGCGGAGTTGTCTCAACTTCCTTCTTGCGACGAACTCTGTGTTCTCCGGTAGGAACTGAGTTCTCAACTCCCGCTTCAAGTCCTCCCATGTGTCAACCTGACACCGACGTTGTTGGATCTCCTCCCAACGGGTTCGCCACCAAAGTTTCACATCTCCGTTTAGATACATTGTTGCTATAGAAACTTTGGTATCTTCAGAATCGGGCCTCGTAGCTCGAAAGTATTATTCCATGTCGAACAGAAAGTTCTCGAGCTCTTTGGCATCTCTGGCCCCTCTATATCCACGAGGCTCGGGTGCCCTCAAATTTTGTGGTGGTGCAACGCGGGTGTTGCTTCCTCCCGCATTTAGTGCTCTAGTGAGCATAGTCACCCTTGAAGTGAGTTCCGCCACAACTTCCTGCAGGTGTTGCACGGAGTCTTTGGTGTCATCTGACAGTCGGTCGACTAGGGCCTCGACCTTATCGATCCTGGACTCCTCTTCCTCTTGCGAGCTCTCTACCCCAACAAGCCTTTGTTGGCCATAGTAGAGTTCCTCCACGCTTGCTTCAAGAACATCCAGACGGGTTTCCGCCGTTGTGAGTCTCTCCTTGTGACTCTTTTTCCTAGTTGGCGCTCTAGATTACGCCTCCTCCGCTTGCGGAGAGTAGCCAACTTCTCGCTCATCATGTTCACTACCGCGCTCCTCTTGAGCGGCTCCAACAGCATGAGAGCGAGTGTGCACATGCAGCCCACCTACGGCTGCTTGGGGTAAGGGTCTGGCTTGCCCCGTCTTGCTCGATTCACCACGATACTTTGCCATGGCGAAGTTGCGAAGTTCCTTCGCTGCTCGCTCGAAGTGCTTGCCCGCTCTGATACCACAATGTCACGGCCTTAGCTGGAATTGCCTAAGGCGTGAGGCACCCTTGCGGCCAAGACGCAAACTTAGCTTGCGTTGCCTAAGTCGCGCTTCGCCCTTGCGATATTGCTCCGCAAAGATCAGCCCACTTGCAACCTCTCGCACGTCCCGAAGGACCTGTAAAAGAGAAAGTTGATTAGTTCGAAAGAACGAGCGACGGACAAGTCCCGAAGTCTTGTGAAAAGGGGAAGCTTTACAAGCAATTCAGCGAGCACCTTGCGTGCACAAGAGAAAAGAGAGAGGAGGAAAACAAGGGCTTTAGAAGGTTGAACGAACAACTGCAAGCCCACAAACAGTTGCTCACCGAGTCCCGGGCGCGACAACAAGTTCCCGTCAAGGCAACGTGCGAACTTACGAAGGAGTGTTCAATGCCCGGTACTATACCGAAGCCCCATCCAGCCCTGTGCCACCCGGGGGGTTCCAAGGGGCTGAGATGGCTGACGTTTTGGTGAGCGGAGGCAGATTCCAGAAATCAGCCTGCGGCACACGAAAACAGAGCTATTTTGGGCTGTTTTGCTCGGTTCGGTGAGCGATCGCTTTGTAACACTGCAGATTGTTCGAACTTACATTTTTATAAGCAAAATGACCCAAAACCAAGACAAAACATGCTGTCAAGCAGCTGTACATGTAGGTGTGAACGACGAACGGTTCGTTGAACGGAGGTCTTGCGAGTGCGCGATGACCGTTCGTGACAATGGGTTTAATGCAGAGCATCTATGTATCAATTTACAATTGAGATGACATGTGACATCGAATTATCAATTACTAGTAACCTCATGTGTTCTATATATATATTGAGCAGAGAAAAATGCTGTCATACAACTACTTATAGGTGGATGCTCCTTTGCTGTCTCATAGAGGAAACGATAAAAATGACCAATGTTTCATACGTATACAAGAGCAAACTAATGGCATATTTCTATTATAGGGCAGTCATCCGAAAGTAGAGAAGGTTACACCAGTCAGATTTCTCAGGTTCCATACACACTAATCTCAGCAAAATCAGCAAGTGATTCCACAATTAAAGGTAAATAACAATGTGAAATAAAAAAATAAGTAGCATTTAAAGTAAGTAACAATGCGAGGGATGATAATGTGAGGTATCCACAGTTCGGTGTAGAATCAGTGACTACTGTTCTATGACAACAGAAAACTGTTACACCAACCAGTATATAGAATAACAATGCGAATAATTTGCAGTTCCATTGCAAAATGGTAAACGAAAGATCAGACCAGATCACCTTCGGAATCGTAGAACTAGTTCTCAATATCGACATGCTGTTCCTCCGGCTCGTCGTCGGAGTACTCGAACCCACCGTCCCTCATATCAGTATCTACACAATCCAACAGGATCATCTAAAATGAAACTACGGAGGTAAATAGAAGCCGCGGGTACAACGAGACAAGGAGAGATCAGAACAAAAATCAAAAGGGAGAATGCAAGATCGCTCACCGGAACCCATGGTTTGCGACTGCCGCTCGATCTGGGAGAAGGATCTCGGGCTTCGATCGGAGGGTCATAACTAGGGTTTTGGCGATGGATCGACAGACCGAGACGAAAGAGGTGACCATGTCGCGAATGGAAACAGGCGCGATCGCGGTTCGAATCGCGCTTAAGGCGAAGTAAACCCTTGTTTGGGCCCACAAATCTTGGACTATTTGGACCCACAGCCTCCCTTGGTCTCCAACAGTCTCCACGTGATGGTTAGTGTACAATCTGGACGAGGCTCGCGTCAGAGAACATTGGGAGACTGAGCAATCTCCAAACGTTGTCGCCGTTCTACGTCGGCAAAGACAGAGAACATTATGTGATTAGAGAGCTGGGGAACCTCGCTAACCTCAGAGGTGAGCTCCGTATATTAGGATTGAAGCATGTTGTTTGTGTTGATGATGCCAAGGCAGCCAACTCGGTGAGCAAAGCGCACCTGGAGAAGCTGACTCTAGAATGGTTTAGCAGTTCCATTGATTACAGCAAGGCAGACTGTGGCGATTCCAGTGAAGAAGAAGCCACTGCGCAAGATCAGAACACGGAAGATGATCCATTGGAGCGCAAGAAGAGAGCTGGCGAGTTGCAGTAACAGTATGGCACTCGAGGCATTTCCATGCCTGGAGACACTGGAACTCCAGACAATGCCTGAGCTGGAGAAGTGGACTGATGTGGAGGACGGTGGATTCCCTTGCCTTCGTCAACTTACAATCGGAGGTTGCGACGAGCTGAGGACCATTCCATGTCTGCCTTCGTTGCAGCCACTAGAGCTGGACTACTGTAGAGGCTTGACAGTCCTCCCAAAATTCCCACGACCGACCAGCTTAGATATGCTGATAGCTTCATTGCCTCAGAACATACCCAAGCTTCAGATTCATAGTTCGTTCGGTCAACATATCGCAAATTAACGATCTAGTGATGAAGGAACAAGAGGGCGAAGGTTGCAGATGGATCACATCGTGGAGGTTCAAGAAACAGCAGCCGATAATGGAGAATTACAATCTCTTGCATGTTTCTGTAGCTTCCTTTCCTGCTTCGGCAACAATCTCAGGCAACTTCCGGGCATCACCAGTCGTCTTTTTGAGGCTGCCTGCTGTGACTGGCTCTGTTTTGGGATGAGAAATCCAGGATTTACTTTCAGTGCTTGATGTTAATAGAATCAGATAAATTTCAATTAAAAGAACATTTTTATTGGACTATAATGAAGAAAGCATATCGAATAAACAACATCTGACCAGTAAGAAGTTCTGAATTAAGTATCTTAGCAGTAATTTTTTTTAGGAGATGAAACAACAGTGGATCCTGCAAAACCTGTAAACTTGATCAGGAAGAAGGAACTGTAAGCCAAACTTACGCTAACTTGTTATGGTACATTGACCAAATACTTGTTGCCATCCCTGAAACTTGCCCTTCTTGTTTCTGATGGATTGATATATTCTTACAAAGATCACTCTTTTTCACCATGGCTCCTGTAAGCAACCATTGCTTCTGAGAGAACACCAACAACCAGTTCGTGAGCTTCCTTTTCCTCAAGTAAAAGAAAGTTCAGAGACAACCCAAATGCTTGAGTAGGACACCACAATGCTGTGGCACAGACAGTGGTCCATATGTATCAGAAAAGAAGCCACATTGCTGAACTGAGTTGTTCAGGTATCAGCATCTGATGAGAATCTTTCTCTAACTCTTGGAAATCTGTAGACAAGAGCATGTTCAGACCGCAAGGCGACTTTGCGGTCTCTGACATGCTCTGACAAGGCCAGCCTAACTTGCTGATCTGGATGGTAGTTGATCGATGTCGTGCCGCAACCGCTTTCTAGGACTTTTGGCCAATTTGCAGGTGAAGCTTCACTAGCAACCTTGTGGGGATCACTAGCAATCTACTTGTGAACCTTCATTACTGTGCCAAGAACAATGCAGAGTAAAGTGGTTGCACCAGAAACACAAGTGCTTGGAAGATGATGGTTTGCCTTGTTCATCTGCAACCAAGTGGTTTTCAAGCACTGAAACAAGGCACGGATATTTCTGTCATTACTGTTGGCAGACATAATATGCAAAATCTTGGTATTTAACTCAAAGAGGCAGCTATGAGATCTCATCCTCCATGGCTGTCTAGTTAGTGCCTCAACTTTCCAATGGCATTTGATTGAAACCTGGGGTTAATTAAGCCTCAAAGACATCAAAAGCTCACCTCACATCAATGGAGAAGCTGTATTTCAGTTTGGTCTTCTCAAATTCAGATGTGGATTCATGCAAAACTTAAGGCACAATTTTTTCATTTCAAAAAAGGAATGAAAAAAGTATCTGCTCATAACATGATGTCAACAAAAAAAGTTTAAGTGTACCACAAGCAAATTGTGTAACTCAATCATTACCATAATCCCATTCACTCACTTAGCATGAGGATTTCTTTGAAGGACTGGTGACCACAGATACTCATGTTAGATCATCATTCAACATCAACTGGAGAACTGACATGAACCATTGTGTGTTTGTGTTTTGGACAGAAGCCACCTACAAGATATAGAAATGCAAATGTCTAATCATTCAATTAATTTTCTTCAATTATTGATATAAGGGATCCTTCAATTTTGTACCCTGTTTCCTTTTTCATTAAAATTTACATATGTTTTCAGGCAAAAATATCAAATTTCACTTTCAATGATGTTTAGATGGAAATGCAGCTTAAGCATATATGTTAGATAGTATATTTGTCCTTGCAATTTTTAATATAATATACTTTTTTCTTCAAAAATAAGATCATATACATATATATATATATATATATATATATATATATATATATATATATTCACATTCATAAAAAAAACTGAGGGTACTAATATTAATAATATCAATAATGAGTTCAAAATTAGAAATATATTAATAATTAAAATACCTAAAATGCTCTAATATTCTCAGTATCATAATTATTATTACAAATATTGAAAGAGTATAAATGTAATCAGAATTTAACATCTCTATTTAATATATGCATGCATATATGTTAAAGTCAAATTTAAAATGATAAATATGGCAATCCATAATTTCAGGAAATAGCAATATAATTAAATGTTGGCATGAAATCTTTGACCTTGCAGAAGATATAAATGTATAAGTTTCATAGGAGGATAAGAAAGAAACTAATCCATTGAACACAATAAATGCAAATCAAGTTAACAGTACTTGCATTCAATATTCAACATTAATTTCTTGGTATTGAAAAGGAGTCATCAGTGCACCCACTGACACACGCCACAAATTCCACACCCTGAAATTACAGCGATGAGAGGGTGCAAAAAGCGGGTTCTAACAGGTGCTGGTGCACTTTATTTTACCGAGGAACCACTGGCGTATCTAAAAATGGCGTCTTGATGAGCTGCGGCGAGGTCAATAAATGTGGAGCACTTCCTCCTCCCAACGCCCTGCTCCATTCGATGAATTTCCACGCAGGAATCTCCAAATTCGTTGCTGTTGCTCTTCGTTTCGCTTCGGCTGGTCTCCGTTCAGGTGGAGAATTGGTCTCGTTCGAGCGAATCGAGACCCCAGGGAGGTGCAGGAGAGGAGTGGTTCCGCATCTTTGTGTACGTGGGTTTGGGCCAAAGATTGGGTTTTGAACGCATATCGAGCTTCAGAGGTGCAAAAGTGGGCGATTTTGGGGGTAAATACTGTTTGATGTGCTCAATGTTAAGCTATTTTTCTGCCGTCTCTTCTGATGTCCCAAACTGGTTTTGGGTAGTTGTCTGATATTGGTCGATTCGGCTTTTCTTCAAAGAATCGCTAGTAGTGTAATGACTTGTTTTGTAGAGTTACGTTTTTGATCGGAAAGTCTTGAATGCAATTCAATTTGGAATTCTTTTGGTAGATCATTGAACCTGAAAAAGGGTTTCCTTTGGCAAAATGTTGCCTTTTCCCTTTCCTGGTTGAAATTGATTGTAATGGTGGAAACCTTGTTCTTGCAGACCATTGAATTGACGAGCTTGAGGCGTTTCAGCTTCGTGGTTGCGGCATTCTTTCTTTTGGCGTGGTGAAGAACCCATCTTGCTTTCGTCGTTACTGTAATCTTGGCATTTGGTTTTGGTGTCGGAACAATGTGTTTGATTGCTCAACTAGAGAGAACGCAAACCAAATCCAGAATCCACGCCGATCCCTCCCTCCACCAGGACCATTTCGACCGGATTCCGGACTCACTGGTGCTGCTCATCTTCAACAAGCTCGCCGATGTCCGGTCCCTTGGTCGCTGCTCAGCCGTGTCCAAGCGCTTCAATGCCCTCGTCCCTCTTGTCCACAATGTGTATGTTAAGATTGATCGTGTAGTGTCCATCGATGGTGACTCCTTCGACGCCTTAGACCTCTCCCTCCCCAAACCAAGAACCCTCTTTGCCCATCTTTTAAAGCTCATTCTTTTTGCGATCCTCCAACCCTTACACTACCTTCAGAACGTTCATGGTTGGAATAAGCCCCTTCTGCCACAGCTCTCCCATCACTCCCCTCGGCAAGTCCTCAAGAATTTCACCCATGTTCGCAACCTAAGGATGGAGCTCCCTGCTGGTGATGTCAAGACCGAGGATGGAGTCTTCTTGAAATGGAGAGCAGAGTTTGGAAGCACCCTTCAGAACTGTGTGATACTGGGTGGAACCATGATGGACTATAGACCTGCTTCGGCCAATTTAGAGGGGGGAATGGAAGACAATGGAAGCATACCCGAGTCGTTCTATACGAATGGAGGGCTAAAATTGCGCGTCGTCTGGACTATCAGCTCTTTGATTGCTGCATCGACGAGGCATTATCTTCTCCGTCAAATCATCGAGGAACACCCAACGCTGAGCAGCTTGGTCTTGACAGATGCTGATGGCCAGGGGACATTGACCATGGGAGTGGAGCAGCTGAAGGAGTTCAGGGAGAAACCATTGGCAATGTCAGCATCATCAAATAGGACTCAGGTGCCAGCGTCATACATGAAGCTCAGATATGCTCCATTCTTGGAGCTGCCCGATGGAATGGGAATGCAAGGAGCTACACTAGTGGCTATCAAGCCCGCCGGAGAGGGCACCAGCGGTGGCCATTATAGCAGGAAGGAAGCCGAGGCCTTT